AGCAGGATGAAGTTTTAAATTACAGATAAAATGGAACAAATTAAACAGTACAAGGTACCGTGGGTGCAATGTGGACACATAAACATACATAGAGCTCCTGTGGCCTCAATAAGTTTAAAAAAACACCCTAGGAATTCGATGGTATCCTCAAACTACAAAACTGCACATTGAGGAACTTCTGTTTTTCCTACTGCATTTCTCGTACACAAATGAACCACAGAGTTCACAAGACAAAAGAAGCAGGAAAAGGAATCAGAGCTATCTGAATATAAATTTGATGAGAAGAAAAAGGTCACCACAGAGCACAGACTAATCTTGAAGACCATTGTGGAATACAAAATCCAACACCACCAACCCGCTCAAGATACCAAAAGAAACCCACTGACCCTTATCTACTCAGCATTCAGTCAGAGCTCAAATCTGCCAGCTTGGCTGCTAATCTTATTTGACAGTATCAGATTTGGTTCCTGTTAGCTGAATCCATTACAGGACATTAGTCACACAGAGTAAACAGGGTGATCAATGAATTTCTTGGTCCTTCTGCACAGCATAAACTAGCAGAGACATGAAGTGAAAAGATGACTTGGAAAATTCCAGCTAGGGGAAGAATTTAGGGAGTCACTATGCTTACAGTACTGTCGGCAACATTTAGTTTCAATGTGTTATTCTAATTCCACTTCATTTCAATTTGCTAATAGAAAAGTTGCTTCTAAGGCTCTACAGAAACACTATGTTCCACCCACAAAATCCTTTGCTGTTTTGTCTGATTCCTTTTACATGGAGCTATAAGCACTTGCTAGTGAGGAAAAAAACTGCCCTGCTCTTCCCATCAGCACTGCAATCCCACTGCCACCTCTATGTCTGGAGCCTTCTACCTTACACATACGTTATTAAAATCATATTCCTGACCTCTCACCCAGCAAATGGCGCATGGAGTATATTCTGCAGTAATATTAGAGTACCAGGTAATATCAAAATATGTTTTATAGGTTTGCTAGTGTTTATAATGAGAAGTTTAGCAGGTGGATCAGGTTTTGCCTTCTTTTTAAAAACACACAGATTTATAGATTTATTAGGTATGTTCTCTGGATATCTCTCTAACATTAAAGGTAAGAGTCACATTCATTCTTTCTTGAAGAGAAACTCAAAATCTCCCTCATGAGCAAATCCACACACTCTCAACAATTGGGTTGCAAAATATTTGAGACAGTCCAGATGCCTACAGCAGAGTATTAAGTGAAAAGAGAACATCTGCAAGCAGAAATTTATCCACAGAATGCTTTCCATTTTCTGATTGATTATTCTCTTTCAACTCTATATTAGCTTACGGTTTGGGGTAAATTGCATTCCTGATTTTATTTGTGTGAGGTCCTTGCCTAGGAAACCACAAAAAACACTTTCAAGAATATTTTCAAAGGCTGGCAGGACACACCATCATCACCTTTGCACTATTCCTGGCAGAACACTGCACTTGTTTATTCATGTCAGCTCAGTTTATGTATGGCATCCTCCCACAATGAAAAGAATTGAGGTCTGTGGGAGTCAGGTAATGCCAACTTCAACAAAGCCAGCTTAAGATTTTCTCTGCACATGGAAACGACTAGGCAAACAGCTACTGAGGTGCTGACACCCCTTCTCCCAACTTCTGTGTCTTGGATGGTGTTGCCTTAATCCTAGGTTAGCCTAATTGTTTCCACAGTAATTGACTGCCGTTGTCTTTAATTACACATGGCAAATATAGCTTAGGCAACTGCTAGTCCTTTATATAACAATGGGCTGGCTAATTTGATCTGCATGTACCATCCAATTTCCTATGAAGCTTTAGCAAAATAAGCACATTTATTGCCACTTTCAACACAACAGCCTTCCTAGGTATAGGTACAACAGGTATCTCTCTTCAGCTGGGTACCATACATAAGACTTAAATTTCTTCACTGTAGGAATCATGTATGAAAAGCTGTGTTGGAACCTGTTGATCTGTCTTCACTGAATCTTCCAGTAGCCATAAATAATACTCTATGACTCTGTTCATAATATGTATAGCCATATATTAAACATGTAAGAATTCCAAATTTCTTAAGAAAAACTAGAACATTAGTCACTGCAATGACTGCCAGAATAAACACAATAAGTGACATAATATTAAATTTGAATTTATTCTTAAGTATTTCTTCTTAAATCTTTGATTCTGTAATTGAAGTCTTAGCTTTAAGAATAATCCCAACTTATAGCTTAGGGAAATCACTGAAATTTTCTAAAGTCCACAGTGTCAGTCAGAACTGACTCAAAAGCTTCAGTCAATAGGACTCAGGTTGCCCACGTTTTTTCTAATAGTTATCACCATCTCATTAATGGAGATGAGTGTACGGTCGTGCGCATGGGAAAACATAACCCAGGAGTACAGCACAGACTGGGATCCACCTGGCTGGAAAGTAGCTCTGTGGAAAGGGACCTGGGGATCCTGGTGGACAGTACGCTCAATATGTATGTTCAACTGAGTGAACAGTGTGCTGCAACAGCAAAGAAAGCCAACAGGATGCTGGGCTGCATCAACAAGGGCATCACCAGCAGAGATCAAGAAGTCATCATCCTGTTCTACTCGGCATGTGTCAGGCCACACGTAGGATACTGTGTTCAGTTCTGGTCTCTGTTACACAAAAAAGATGTGGACAGGCTGGGGAGGGTCCAGAGAATGGCCACAAAGATGATCAGAGGACTAGGCAGCCTGCTGTATGAGGAAAGGCTGGGAATCTGGGTTTGTTCAGCCTGGAGAAAAGAAGGCTTAGGGGAGATCTTATTGCTGTGTTCCAGTACTAAAAGGGTGGCTACCAGGAAGATAAGACTGCCTGTTTAAATCTTAATGGGTACAAGTTACTCCTGGGGAGATCCCAACTGGGTGTCAGAAGAAAATTTTTCTCTGTGAGAACAGGTGGACATTGAAATAGTCTCTCCAGGAAAGTGGTTATTTCTCAACACTTTTAAGACTCAGCTTGACAAGTTGCTGGGCCATGTCATCTAAACTGTGCTCCTACCAAGAAAAGTTGGAACAGATGATCCTTGAGGTCCCTTCCAACCTGGTATTCTATGATTCTGTGATCTCCACTGTATGGGTATTACCACACTCGTGATTCCCACTTGGGTTTAGGAAGATACGACAGTGATGTCAAGTCAAAACAGTGCTCTGCTCTTCTCCTGAGACTGAGTGATTCTTCCCAACTACCTGCCACCTGTTCAAACCATGGCTGAACTACTGATTTAGATCAGTAAACCAAGCCATACTCCTCCATTCAGTTATATCAGAAGGTACAGTCTCCCTTATGTTATATACAAGCTCTGATTCCTCTGTAATGGCAAAAATTAAAAATATTTATTCTCTGATGGTATGACTACATTCATAGCAGCAAAAGGAGCAGACAGAGTATTAGTCCTGAAACGTGTTTAGAGATTGCTATGATTTCTAACAAGAGAAAGTTACTTTTTAGAGTAGATGCTGAAGTAATTCTATGCCAGGAATAGAAATGAAGATAATTTTGAAATGCAAAGGAAGACATGAACTTGCATTTGGTACGTGAGGTGGAATGGTGCTTTTATCATACTGTATATATTGCTATGTGAAGTTTGCAAGTACCCAAAATGAGTACATTTTATAAAGGATCCGTTTTGTGACATTCTATTACTATCTTGCAAACACATCACATTAAAGATAAAAATGAGTTAAGCTGTTTTTGTGACAGCATAGTCTATAATTAAGACTTAAAAGCTATGTTTACTGACTGATTTTAATCGCAGTGGTAGTTCACAAGACTTAATTATCTATTTTTGACATTGATCTTTGTTATTAATTACATTTTAGTTGACTCATATGAATTGCAGCAATATCCAGTATACTCTGCAGAAGAACTGAGAGTGAATTCTTTATGAACATACAGCTCCCAGTTACCTGGACAACTTAAGTCAGATTACATTACTACACCATAGAGCAGAAGTACCCTCACCTGGCTTTGTGCAGAGTGTGTTTTGTTCAATGCAGGACAGAGGTACTGCTTCCAGGGCCTGCTCAGGTCAGAAATCAGTTCAACTGTTCTTCCCAAACCTCTAGTACAAGGTATTAAAATACCTATACATAGTTAACTCAGTTCTGTGAGTTGAGCTTAATGATTGCAGCTGTCAGCATAGGTCTTCACATAGCTGGTGCTAACAAGTCTTGTTAGAGACACCCAACTGCCATTTGCACATTCCTCACTAAACATGATCCACTCCTTAACCAACACTGATTCCGAAGAGTCTACTACAATTTCAAAATGCTACTAGAAGCCCCAATATAGAAAGGCCCTCAGAGAACTTTATGTATAAAATACTTCCAGAGGATTGGATTTATTTTTCTACTGAATTTACTGAATCTGAATTTACTATATGGAGAAGACCAATTACAGAACCATGCCAGCTTGGACAATATACAAACAAAAAAGGGGAATATTGTCACTGATTAATTTAACCTTCTAGCACTGACCTAAGCTAAAGGAGTCATTGGGCAAACAACAAACTTTATACAGATTAAGTCTTAATTCCAAAATAAACATTGATTTATTTTTTGTTTTGTTTACAAAGAGAATGTACATTTTTAGAGGTATTTTTAAAGGTTACTTCATAAATTGAAAAGTTAACCACAATATCCTCTCCACCCAATAGCCCTCAAGATAAACATCCCACAAACAGCTCACTGTTCTTTGTTGTTTTGGTGTGACAGGTTGCAAAGCCATTTTTGAGATATTAAACCACCACCTTTTCCCCACCTTTCTGCAGTTTTATTTAACAGAAGACTAAACAGCAGAGGTTTATGAAGGAATGCTCTTTTGTCTCAAAATGTTTCTTTATATATGACTTTAAAATATCAATCTTCTATGAAGATGTCTGCCAATACATGACAGAAAATGCACTTCTTTCCCTCCTCATAACTCTTTCCAGGCAAGCTAGTTATGTTTTAACGTTGCTCTCCACAAGTGAGGCCAGGCAGAATCTCACATTCCTACCCTATTTCCCTATCCCCAGTGAAAACTCTTGTATAGAGAGATATCTTTTCCTTAAAAAAATCCAAAAACATCCCAGGATGTAAGGACACACATCTCAATGCTGCATTTTATCAATGTGTTTCAGTCTTAATAGTTGAGAGGATCACTCGTGAAGATGGAAGAAAGGTAACTGTGTATAATGATTTCATTGTTGAGCTTTCTTGTCAAGAACATCAGCAAGGATGAAAAAGGTGCAATTATCTTTCAAAAGGAATAAATATCTTCTTGGAATTACATAAAGATTCTCAGGAACATAAATGGATCATTGGAAGTATTTAACTTACTCTGATACAATGGAATAGCCTGATAATCAACAATGCTTCCTACATGTTAAATCCATACCAGTTTGCTACAGCTTACTGTGGAGAACATGCTAGACTGTATTGATTCCATTAAGTCTATCATAAAAACATAATTCTAAAACAGTATTGTTAATGTTTTAACTTCACAGCAACTCCTTACTGAAAGACAAGACAGAAAATCAATTTGCAGTGTTACTGCAGTTACGTTTCACTTATGCTATCTGGAAGCATACTATGTGAATAACCTAAAAGCAGTAAGTAGAAAGTATCTCTACCCCACCCCACCCCCACCTCCTTTCAGCCACTTCTGTATTAGTAAGAAAAGAGTCTGCATGTTTTGGAGGTTGTATTTGGTTGGTTTTGTATTGTGGTGCTATATAAGAATTTAATTTGGAAGAACCCAGTGAAGAACAAATATTCTCAATGATTATTTAGTAATATCACAAGTTGGAGAATATAATCATTTCCCAGATAAAAAACCTATTTTGGCCTTCAGTTAAAAAAAAATAATCAAATGTCTTGAATAACTGTCAAGAATATGGTATACAGCATAGTCTTTCTGTTTTTAAATATCTTGTTTAAATTACGTAAATTTTATTTGAATAAATAGGTTTACTTACTGCAACAGCTGAAATTATGACCATCTACCTAAGTCTTTTAACTGTTAATCAAGTACATTCTTTCAAGAATTTCAACTCATGGGCAGACAAGTATTGCTTTTAGTTATTTAAAAGTAAGAAGAGAAATTTATTTCTAGCTTTGCAGGTTTGTCACAATACTGCACAGTGATTTGATATATATTATTTTCAATCCCTGTAATGGATCAAAACCTGCAATTTACATTTTAAAATATTTATTTACCTAATCCCTACTTCCAATGATATTTTGAAATGTAAATATTTTTTAAAATAAACATGTATGAATGTACAGTACATTCCTGACTAGCAAAATAGAGTAAACAACTTTAACAAGAATTTTATGACTGTAAACTAGCACAGTTATACCAACTAATGTAAATGAACTGTGTCTCAAGTGAATAATCAAAAAAATAAATGTGAAATAAAACTAGGAATTAAAAATAAATGTTTCTAGCTTGTAGGATTAAGTCACAAGTTAAATGCATCACTTAAACCATTTTCTTTCTGTCCAACAGGAAACTAGGAAGACAAGTTTGTAATGGCATTTAAAAAAACAAAAACATAAAAAAAGATCTTTCTTTTTTTCTTCCAGAGAAACTTAACACCTCTACACCTGCTATCTTCTCCCTGTTCAGTCACCCCAAATAATTTTTACATCTAAAATTGTTATCAAGTTTAACATAGAGCTATTGTTCTCAATTTCTACTTAAACTTCAAAACTGCTGCCTTATTGCAGACCTGGAGACAAACCTGTAGGTCCTGTCTGAATTTCCTTCCATTTATGTGTCAGTTAATCTAATAACAGAAGATATTTTCTCTCCCTGCAAGACTTCTGTCACTTAATCTTTCATTGTCATACCTACAACACTACTGCTTTAAAGGAAGCTGAAGCTGCAGTATCAACTTTCTATATTAATCTGAAAATAATTAGAAAAGCCATCTTGAAACATAGGAGATACTTAGTATGTAACTTGATTTCTGCACGTGGGCAAGTTTATGTCACTGAACATAGAATCATATGATAGAATCATAGAATGGTTTGAGTGGGAAGGGACCTTAAAGATTATCTAGTTCCACCCCCCCTGCATGGGCAGGGACACCTCCCACTAGATCAGCTTGCTCAAAGCCCCACCCACCCTGCCTTTGAACACTTCTAGGAGTGGGGCTTCCACAACTTCCCTAGGCAACCTGTTCTAGTGTCTCACGACCCTCAAACTAAGGAATTTCCTCCCAATGTCTAACCTAAATCTCCCCTCTTCCCATTTTGATCCATTACCTCTTGTCCTCGCACTAGGAGCCCTTGTAAAAAGCCCCATCCCACTTAAAGGAAACCTACCCTAGGGTAAAAAGTTAATATAAATTCTCTTACACTCTTATAATATGGAAACTTTCTACCAGTGTTACCCACAAATTTTCTGCATGCCTATTTCATAGCTCCTTTGGCTTTTCTCTGTTGTAGCTGTAAGAAGGCAAGTATTTTTTGATGCATGACCGCCATCTTTTGGACTTCTACTAACACTACAGTTTTCCAAGCCAGGGGACTGAAATGCTGTCCTCACTGAACATTTAATGTGCCAGAAGCACTTAAAGTATATTATAGTTATTTTCCATTTGACGTTCAGAGACACAGTTGTGTCTTCCATAATATGGGAATTTATTAAGCATTTGTTATCAAAACACAGTTTTTGAAAAGATTTTCCCTTTATATTGGAATATGCATCATAAAAACCTGAAAGCCCATATTTCAGGTGCCCAGGCATCCATGCAAGAGTTCCTGAACATGTCAACAGTAACGGAGAAGCCTCAGCAAGTTTTATACTACTTGAAAGCTCTTCCATTCTCTGCTGTCTTTTAGCTACAAGGTCACCGAAAATAAATCCCCCCCAACTCAGGCAACTGCAACTTCTAATTTAGCTGTGCTTAGAAAACCAGTATTAGTGACTGCATGTTAGTGGAGCATGTCATACAACTCTGTATTTGTCCACAGCATATGTGTACACTTAAGCACATATATTTGTCTTTACAATCAATCCCCTCGCCTAGAGAATCAAACATACAATCAAAATTACAATGTGTCAGAACAAGCAATATTGAATGGCTATGGGATTGTATAACCTAAACAAGAAGAAATTACGCTTTTTAATCTCTTTTTCCTATGAGAAATCAAATAGTACAGGATTGTCCATTTTACCTCTGTCTGCAGGATCGCAGCCCTTTGCTCTTTAGCTGTAAGAGACTCTTTTAGAACTTCAATATGCTGCTTGCTGTCAGAGAACTGATTTGTGAGGGTCTCCAGCTTTGTCTGCAAGGCCAGCAACTCAGTGTCTTTGCGTGACAGCTCCTGTTTTACCTGACCAATCTGAAAAAGAAACAAAAGACGGCAAAGGAAAAAGTAATTTATATCTTCCTCACAAAAGTCACACAACTGCCAACAACCAGTACGATACTCCAAACTTATTCCACAAAACTGTGGAGCCTTCAGTTCTCTTGAAAGGAAGGCCAGCAAAAATTTGTGTCATTAGCAAAAGATACAAGGAAAAAGAGAAGAGGAGCATTAGTTTTTCAAGAGAGGTTCTTTTTAACAGAGTCAGTGTGTTCTTAGTCACCTTTCAAAGGACTGACCAAAACCAGTTAGTTACTTAGCAGGGACAAGTTTTTAATGAAGACAAAGAACTGTAATGAGAAAGTATCCCTACTCTGCAATATCAGAAAAGATGAGATACCTAGAGGTCTCTCTCAGAAGTATGAGGTTTGTTTTGAAATTTTTACTAAAAGTAATTATGTCCATCTATTTAAATTAGATACAAAAGTATTGATGTTGGCAGCACTAGTAAATAGCCTGAATTACAGTAAAACTTTTGCAAACCAGTTTGGTCTTTCTTTGAAAAGATTAATTCTTTTTGAGGTCATTTCAGAAGAGAAGTTTATGCTAAATACTTGCATTTTGGTGAATTGCTCTCATCTAAAACAACCACATTTCAAAACATTAAAATTCCCAAGAAGCACCCTAAGATCATTCTAGAAATCCCCATTTCAGAGCTGTAAGCCTACTGTGCTAAAGCTCTTTAGGAAGAACACAGTGCATACCATTTCATGTTGCAAGGGAAGTTAAGGCAGCATCGAGTGCTCACATCTCTCTTCTTGGGGAGACACTATGATCACTCAACAAATGCACTAATTTCATAGTAAAGGATAAGCCTAAATTCATGCTGCTAAAATTAATCAGTTTGAAAAGCGTTCAGCATCCAGCTTTTGTTATATTTTGTGAAACAATGTTAAGACAGCACAGCACAAATTTTTAAATTATTTTTGTTATACAAGGGAAAGCAAATCTCTTTTAAAGTCTGGCCCCAAAATGGGTGCTGAATACTTTTGAAAATCTGTGTTGACAGAGAAGAATAAGTTAGTGCTATAACAGCTCATACCAGTAAAAAATATTTAAAAAATAAACACAGATGTTCAGTTGAGGAGTGATGTTATAGACACCAAAACCATGTGAAGAAAAAGGCAGCTACAAGGCTGAGTGGGCTGTTAGTTCTACTGTAATATCAAGTCGTAAAGAAGGTAAGGAAAGAAAAGCTACCCCGAAAGCCAGAGAGCTAGCAAGCCCCAGTGAATGGCCACTGCACACAAAAGATAAATCTTACTGCAGAGACCTCGGCCTGGAGACCAGCCACTCTTTTTTTCAGGTCCTCCCCTTGGGCCTCTTTGGCACTTAGCTCCTCCTTCAGTTGCTCTACCTGTCACGACATTGTTATGCTTTTAAATATTTATCATGTGTCAGCTTCTAGTTGGCCTGTTTCAATCCAAGTAACTAAAAGTGACAAAGAACTGAACAGAAGGATCAACTGTGGTCATTCAATTTCTCCTCCATTCTTCATTAAGTCAAGTCTTCTCAAAAGTTTAATGTCTCTGAAATTTCATATAGGCTGCCAGACAAAAATTTGGTTATGAAACAAAGATGTATAGCTGTGGTTATGCTTATATGTGTGAAGTATTGGGCACTTCACCCAATGGTGAAGCTGGAATTCATGAGGGAATCAGAACAGGAAAAGGGACATTTTTCGGTTTAAGAGAAATAAAAAGTTAATTGTCAAGGTATAGATGTCTAGACAATATCGAAAAAATAAATGTGCAATTATAGAACAAGGTAGGACAGCAAGACATGGAGATTGGAGCTACAAGCCATGTGTGAATGGCTATCAAAAGGGAGCAAATGTTCTGCAGGAAAATAAACGAGCACAGTAGACAGAAGAGATGCAGAAATTGAGTAGCTGAACAGATTCATAGGCCCAGAGAGGGGGAGGAGAAGGGGAAACTGAAGAGCTGCTAACAAGGAGAGATAGACAAAAGACAGAAGAGGGGAGGAAGGAGGGAAGGAAGGAGGGAGGGAAGGAGGGAAGGAGGGAGGGAAGGAGAAAAGAAAAGAAAAGAAAAGAAAAGAAGAGAAAAGAAAAGAAAAGAAAAGAAAAGAAGAGAAAAGAAAAGAAAAGAAAAGAAAAGAAGAGAAAAGAAAAGAAAAGAAAAGAAAAGAAGAGAAAAGAAAAGAAAAGAAAAGAAAAGAAGAGAAAAGAAAAGAAAAGAAAAGAAAAGAAGAGAAAAGAAAAGAAAAGAAAAGAAAAGAAGAGAAAAGAAAAGAAAAGAAAAGAAAAGAAGAGAAAAGAAAAGAAAAGAAAAGAAAAGAAGAGAAAAGAAAAGAAAAGAAAAGAAAAGAAGAGAAAAGAAAAGAAAAGAAAAGAAAAGAACGAGGAAAGAGGTGCTAAAATAATCTCTCTTATCTTAATTTGAAAGGGGCATCCTTCAGTTCCTATAAGCAGTGCAGTGGGATAAAGGGCAAAGGTATAAAAGAACAGATATGGTTATCTTGAGGTAAATCAGCGAGCTGGAATGAGGGGAGTGGAAGAAACACACACTTGTTTCTACTTTAGGGCAAGTAACATTTCTCCAAGATATTTTCTCCAGCATGCTTTTTTCAACAAATCATTTCAAGCGGGACAAAGGCAGTAGGTACAAATGTTGAGAACCTAGCAGAGTAATTTTTAACCTGCCTTGCAGGGATTTATACACTGCTTGCAGGGACTATGTAAAAGCTACGAAAAAAAAAGCAGGACTGCTCACAATATACTTAACTTTACTGTACAAGGTGGCCTGAGTCTTCATTAGAAAATGTTAGGGCCCTCTAAAAGACTGAAAAACACTTCTTTGGGAGAAACTAAGAATGAATTGACTTCTGGCTACAGACAATTCAGTAATCAATGGCCATCTTTATACCTGAAGATCAACATGTCTCACTGTTGTATTTGTTCTGTATTCTTAATGGTATAAATTAACATTAGCACCACCACTGTTGCAGATTCTACTCTCATTCTGACTCCACTACTGGAAAGAGAGTGTAATGGAAAGCCATTATAGTGACTGTTCATGCTCTTTTCAGCCTTTACATAATAAAATACCTACTATTTATAGTACAATAGTTGCAAAAAGAAACACTCTTTTTTCAATAGAATACATCTGAAAAGGCTCTAAAATTATTTTAAGTAATTTTAAGTTATTGCGGAGGTTTCAAGGCAGAATAAAAATACACTCCGTTTCCCAGCACTTGAATGGGAACCCAGATCCTAACTCCTTACTGAAGCATGAAAATTTCTCTCATCTGTTCACCAAGCTCAGTTTGTCTTACTACTGTCTTCTGTTTTCTCCATACCTTATTTTTCATGAATTTGGAATGACTACGGTACACCTCCATTTGCTTCATTTCCTCTTCACGTTCCTCTGTGCTCAGAGCTCCGTTTGACTTCAACATCTGAATCTCCTCTTCCAAATCCCGGAGGCCACGCTCCATGGAAGAAATTTTTGAATCCTGAAAACGATTAGAAGAGACAGTTAAAGATACACAGTTAGATGATTTGTTAACATACCACTGGATCAAAAAAAGGAAATCCTGCCCTGGAAATTTACTCCTGAAGTTCCTAGAGAAATCAGTCTACACCTCTTTAGATAGCATCTAGCTGAGTGTTCAAGTACTCATTTTTCAATTTTTTTTATACTTTTCAATGAAAGCAAGACTTTAGTACCGAAAGAAAACATGGCTAGGGGCAGGGACACAGTATATGTTAAGTTAATAGAGGAACATGAAAAAAGGTTGCTTTGTAACACAAAGGCAGCATAAAAAAGAGAAATTTAATTCTGATTGAATGAACATTAAAAAAAAGAGTTTATGCTACTAGTAATTTAAGTGGGGTCACAAATGGAGAACATAAAAAGCTCCATAAGCAAGGAAAATATGTAATTATCTAGTCTTGAGTGGACAAAGCAGGAGAATCCTTCAAGCTTTCTGGCTCATATATACAACATATAAAACACTTACATGGTTAAAAAAAATTACATCTGGAAAAATAAGAAAGTCAATCTACCATTATCCTGAAGAGTCAGAGGTTTTCAATCTACTTGGTTTACAGTTTCTTTAGAAGTCTTATGTGTTAGTAACAGCAAGAACAAATTTATACAGCATACACAGCTTCATACACGCTTATGAACACAGGCATTTATGAACTGTAATCTCTTAAAATGTCTGTTTTTCTTTTATTTAATTTCTCCAAAATATTCCGTCTTTCCTGAACTACAGGTAGGATTTGAAACTGTCCTCCATTCTTTCACAGACCAGTCCTTTTTTGTGTGTATGTCTGTCTGATAATCAAAGTGAAGCTGAAAAAAAATAAAAAAAATTTCATATATAGGTTTTAACTCATGAGATCAGATTTTTCTAAAGGAACATTATTGAGATCTAGTCAGATCTTTTGCTTTATGTTTAATGCTTAAATTAAAATTGGTTACGTGGATTTCTGCAACAATAAAATCAAGAGAGGAAGTAAGGTGAAGTGATATGTTGTAATTTACAACAGTATTTTGTTTTGGTGCCCACATCACTTTCCAGAAATACCAGTGCTTCTCTTTTGATAGTAAAGAGGACTTACTGTTACCTGTTGGTCAATTAGTTTTTATTGCTATGAACCACAAAGATGTTTAATAAAAGAAAGACGGTAAATGAAAGGCTCCAGAGTAGAAAGATAGGAAATTACTCTGGAAAACAATAAGATGGAATGGGAAGAGTTGGAAGGGAAAAAATAAGGGAAACAAAAGAAAAATGGACAGATAAATAAATAGGGAGAAAGGAGGGATATGTAAGTGGAAGGAAATAGTTCACAAAGACAGTTTCCAATTTTTTAACTGTATTTGTCCAAATCCTATCTGATGTACTTTATGAATCACAGAATATGAAACAAGATCGAATAAAGCTGTGGAAACCACACACTCAGTTTGTGGCTCCTGAGCTCTTGGCAAACTGCCATTGTTCCATTAGATACTTGAATTAATGGTTTAAGAATTCAATCACAAATTCCTCTTGAAGTTAGGTTTACAATGACATACAGACATCTTTCTGGCTGTATGACCCACTCTTTAAGTTTTGAGTTTGCAAACTGTTAACTTTGTTGACACACAAAAGGCAAAGCAGTACTTTAAATGTTGACACTATAATAAGAAAATAACCCACATCATCATAAAAAACTTACTAATCCTTTATTCCCATTCTTGTAATCCAATGGACTCTTGGTTAACTGAAAGAAATGTTTATGTGCTGCTGAAAGGCAGACAGGAGACAGGTTTCTGTTGTTTCATTAAGGAGTTTTGTCTCTTCACTTATCAATAATAACAGATAAATTAATAATAGACAGTAAAATAGGATAAAATAAATATACTTATTTCAAATTAGAAAACTGACAGGAGTTCATGGCATTTGGTAGAATCACTTTTTATATGAAAACATATTTTCCAGAGAACAAACTCTACTGCTGCCTATATGCAATCATTTACCTTCATCTCAATAACAGTTTGCAGAGCCTTTGTCTTGGCTGTATCAGGAGCATTTTCAAATCGACGATGGATCTCCTGTACCAGCAGAAAAGAAAGTAAGAGTTAACCTAATGGCATTTTAACCCACTTGCCAAATACAAACAAAATTACTAGAAACTTCTCCTTTAATACATAGCCTAACTCAACGCTGCTTTCTTATGTTACCAGTTCATACACTTTGTTATTATTTATCATATCAAAGAAAGGATAGGTGAAAGTTCATTCTACAGAACTCGAGCCTCGGTTAAAAAGACACAACAGAAACTGCATCTTTGACTACCTACTTACTCAAAATAAACTGCTAATGACAGCTGCATCTATTAAAATCTCCTATCATCTTCCTGCTAAACTACTCTAAACTATTACTAGTTTCTCAAAGATGTTTACTGAAAATAATAATGCTGTGGTTTCTGTTTCTAGAATCTACAGGGTGCAGTTATTTTACTGTGAGTAGCAACATTTATTATGCATGATGAAAATCTTTCTTCACTGGGTCTTGAGCATAATTGCAAATACGTAACTTGACAGCACATTGCTCTAGAAGTTCAGAATACACAGACAGTAGGACACAAAACCCATCTGATATTTCTGTTGATGTCAATTCACAGAACTAGCATGCTTCAGTCTGCTTACTAAGGAATAAAATTATAGAAAGCTGAAACAACTTGTTCTACCATATGAAGTAATTAGGGATTTCAAACAAAAATTGGGAATATAGGAGAAACTATATAGTATCTATGTAATTTTTTCATTATTTGTCTCAGAATAGTATTGTCCTTACACCACACACTAATGTTATATGTAGGAATGTGAATACTGTTAGAACATTAATATTATATGACATGAAAATACTCTGGTGCCCACAGAGTATGAACTGTGATACTAGTTATCCTAACAACACGTGGTAATATGCACACACATAGAGTGAAACCACCCACTGCCCTCAAACACCTAAAAGATAAAGCCAAGAAGCCAACAAAAACCTGTTATTTTCTACAGTCATAGCGAAGAGATAATATTTTGTATGGCAGTCATACATGCAATTTGCTCCATATGATTACTTATTTGAATGAGACAGTTAAGAGTTGTATAGTGCTTTTTGAAATACTGGAAACACTACTTGTCATGTAAAATTTTTAAGTGCTCTTGCATAGCTGTCAAGTGAGAAAGACAGAAACGTTTAGTGGTATGTCAAGGGCCACCAGAAGAATTTTGCATAAATTTAGCACAAGGACATTTGTGTAAGTTGATGCCTGTAAGCAGTGACAACAAGAAAATCCAGTCTGTTTTAAATAATACACTTGCGTATTTCCTGAGAATATACTTTTGCAAGTATATTCACAGGGTAGAGTGGTATTTTCTGGAAGAAAAAAACAACAACCCGAAACAAAACAAAACAAAACTCCTGAAAAAATAAACCAGAAAACCCTTCTAAATATATTTGTTTCTCCCACAGTCAACAGGTAACTTGAGAACCTCTGGTCATGTATCACTGACACCATATAGACCAGAGTGTAGCAACAGCACTATTATTCCTCTTCTACTTACCTGTACCTGCATTCTCATGGATTTACTTAAATCTGAACACTTTAGCCAGACTTTTCCTTGGTCCTATGATTTCCTGTATCTGCCTGTAATGTCCAAAAAAGAGCAGTGTGCATTTCACTCTGATATTTTTCTTAACTCCTGGCCAAAGCATAGCATAATCAGTAATTTCTCATCAATAGCCTTCCAAACTGTTGGTCTCTAGCACTTTTCCACTTTTCCATCTGCCTACAGGGTTAGGGGCATGCTGTCTTTGTCCAAAGTCAAACAGACATGGCTTCTACCTATTCAACAGTTTTTAAATCAACAAGACAGCCACTTTCTCTTGAGTATGTTGATGTTAAATCTAAGGAGGGGGAACATACTACATTGAGATGCTCTTTCCAGAGGGCTGATCATAGGGCCATCTAAAGACTGCAGGCATTATCTCTGGGATCATCTCCTTAGCAGCGCTGTTCAGCTTTTTCAAAGCCTACAGCAGACAGTCCAACCAGCTCAACCTTTTTCTACAGTTTCCTGTGCCCATCCTCAGAAGAAGAAAAAAGAAGCTGTCAGCAAACATAATATAATCAATACAAGCTGGACCAACATCTTCACATCACTTTTACTACCTGCTCCACCCTCAGCATTTTTTTTGAGACACATAAATAAAACTACTTTTCCAGTCTGTCTCCACTACTTACTATTCCAGTCGCTACCTCTTCAGAGGTAAAATGTTAGAGATTCATTTGCTGTACATAATGTTAGAAAAGAAGCTCATTATGAGGTAGAATTTGCTTTCAAAAATGTAATATCAATTAAGCATAGGACAATCTGCTACATACTCTGCCCATAAGAAACTCAGAACTTATCTTACTACCCTCAGTCAAGGATCAGAGGTAAAAAAAATAATGCTACATATTTGCCTAATAAGAATAAGCTATGATGAGCTACTAACAATCGGGACCAGCCTAAGCATTTAGAAATATAAGGCGGAGCAGAGCCAGCACCCTCCACCTGTTTCTCAGTGCTTTTACCAGTACCTGTCATGAAAAACATCCCTTTTCTTCAGCGTCCCTGTTCTTCCTCCACAGGGAATGATCACAGCTGCCTTCCTAAAGGTAGCTGTGGTATATTTCTCCCTGTTTCCACCTCAGCCAGGAAAAACTCAGCTGACAGAAGTAGCTTCCTCCTGAAACTTCTCCATATGTGAGTTTTGCAGAGTGAACACTGCAGATTCATGCACTCACCAAGAAGCATACTGCTGGAGAGGCATCCAGAACATTTCACTGCTCTGGAACCACAGGCCTGTATCTATTTGGCTGCAGTGAACAGCACTGTTTGTACAAGTACACAATCATCTGAATAAGAAACATGACTTCTGACTATCCTTCTGCAGAGGCTCATACATGCCCCACAACCTTCAGTTCCTTCTCAGAATTCTCAAGTCTTTTCCTGTGATTGCCAGCCTGAGAACTGAGAGATTAAGTCAGAAGCCATTCTTTTTTGTAAATCCAGATGTGGCACATTAAAAGAGGTAGTATTTGAGAAAACCCATTGTAGCACACATCCTATGTTGTAATACCAAATTATTCTGTAATCTCTACTTGTCTATGAAAACGCCTACTAAGAACATGCATATAAACAATGCAACTCCAAGAATGCCATTTAGTAGTAATACAGTCCATAGCTGAAGACATTTTGGCAGCATGCTCAAATTCATGTCCACTTTAAAAAAATGTTATATGGGAAGAAAAGAGGGTCTGAAGCCTCCAGGTTTTAGAATATTAAAAAAGTGGCTTTCCTTAAATGCCAAACTCATCTATGGGAAAAAGGAAAGTCATTCTGAAGAAGACTCATTAAGCTTAAAAAGGTGAAGAAAGATCCATGAGTGACAATTACCTTATTCTGAATCACATGAGCTTTTGCTAAATGCATAAAATTATGTCTCCAGCTGCTCCTGTCACATCAGTGACACAATCACCCAATAAATTTTATTTTAGAATAAAATTACACAGCTTGATCATAGAAAGGAAGTTAAAACAAATTCTTGTGAATGGTCAGAAACAGAAAACAAAAGATAAGAAGGTAAAAAAATAATATGCCAAAAGTCTATTTTGAACAATGTATCATTTTTATTTTAGCTCTGCAATTGCATACTAGATAATTTCCACTTGTGCACAGTCTCTGACCTGAGAACATAAAAGCAACTACTACTATGGAAATGATGTAAGATGGGACACACAGTAAGAAAACAGTGTATCACCAAAGGGATGCTGACACAACAGTGTGTCCTTTATACATTGCATAGTGTTTTCTCAAAAAAAAAATCCTTTTAAGCTTTTTTCTTTAGAAATGCCTGTATCTCCACTGTCTGAAGTGATATTTTGCACTTCAGCAAAGGAAATGTCCTACTTCTATCATCTTAAGCAATACCACTGTGATTTGGATGACATAACCTGCTGAAAAACAACACCTCCCACCTCTCAACTGCATAGTAAGGATTTAATTTTGGCAACATGCCTACGACTCTAAAGAACCTGGAAGCAGGGCTACAGGCAAACTGAGCCTCCCTAGAACACAGATTTAAGTGTGGCTGCTGAAGGAAGGCAGCACATATATATCCTTCCTAATTTCGAAATACAGGTTGTGTACTTATCTTTGAGTGGCAGAATGGATAAATATTAATATATCCTATCTCTGATGTCCTCAGATTCTATTGTGGACACACACCACATATTGCAGTTAATTACAATGAAATGCAAATACTGCAGCCAAAGGAAAATTTCATCAGCATCTGTCAGTTGAATATTAACTATCATTGTTAATTTTCTAAGTTATTTAATAGATCTGTAAGACCAAATAGATCTGTAATTGTGCAGGAGGACAAATTCTACCTGGCTAACCTTATTTTCTTCTCCAATAAAGTAACTGTCTGTGTGTTAAGTAGTGAGCAGTGGGTGTGGCACATCTTGACTTGAGGCTTTTGACATGGCCTCCAAACATCCTTGCAGCTAATTGGTGAGATACAGACTGGTTAAATGTGGGTGGAAACTGGACTATCACACCCAAAGCCTGGTGATCAGCACTATGAAGTCCAGTTGGTAGCTGCTGACAATCCTCAGAGGCTAATACTGTGGCTGTCAGTGTCCAGTGCCTCTATTAATGATCTAAACGATAGGAGAGATGGCACCCTCAGCATGCTTGTGGATTATATGAAATTTGGGAAAGATGTGAATTGGGAGTAAGCACTGTGCCCTTGCTGTAAAAAAAAACAACACAATGGCCAACTGCATCCTGGGTGGTGGTATTAGCAAGACTATACAGCCAGAAAGGAAGCAGTTATTTCTTTCTATGCAGCTCTCGCAAGACTGGAGGACTGTGCCCTACTTCAGACTCCCCAGTAAAAGGAAGACATTAGAAGATGAAGAGTGTCCACAGGACAGCCACCAAGATGGTTGGGGCTGGAACATGTAATGCTAGTGGAGAGAATGAGAGAACTGAGTTTGTTC